TTTAACTTCGTATCACCCACCACCTTCCTCAGCCCAGATCACCACCACTGCTTGGCCTGGACCACACACCATCTCCCCTGTTTTCCATTTATCTGTCTATCTGCTTCTTCCAGATTTTAATCTATATGAAGTCAAAGACCATGCTTGTCTTATTTGCCTCTGTGTGTTTAATTCCCAGAGTAGTGAAGTCTTGATAAAGACTGGTCCAGTGAGTGGAGTGGGTAGGTGGATGGAAGATGGATACACAAATTGTTGGTTGGATGGCTGGATAAATGGAGTATGACTAAGCGGGTGACTAGATGGAAGGAGGGGTGGATGGATAGATGGGTGGATGAATGAGTGGATGGATTGCTGCACAAAAGATAGACAGACACTGATAGACATGCAGATGGATGAATGGATAGATGCATGGACGGACGGATGGATGGATGAGGATCAATGGGTGGATGGACCGATGGGTCGGTGGATGAATGGGTGGAAGGATAGAGAAACGGGAAGATGAGAGGGTGGATGACGGATAGGTGGAAATATGGATCCTGTTCGGCCTTAAGTGAGACAGTGAGGTCTTCCTGTCCACCCCCACCCTGGGCGGCCTCTTCCTAGGTGTCCCATGCCGATGAAGACCTGATTGATGAGGACTGAGACTAGTGAGTCCCGCCCCATCTCGTGTTTAGCTACGTTAGCAATGACAGCGTACAGCAGTGGTCCCAGGACCTGCGTTGCCTGACCTGATCAGCACAGCCAGTTCTCCAGCCACTCTCACGGGGCTCTGGGCAGGTGGAAGGGAACGAGTTTGAGTGACTGGACACACTGGCTCGCTTCAGCCACCTGGCTCTTCATCACCAGGCCTCTGAGCAAACTCTCTGGCATGAGAAGGGCGGGAAGGGCGAAGACTCCCAAGTGACTTGGCAGACTTCTCCACTGAGTCTCGCTTCCTATTGACTTGTCTCTAATTGCATTTGCACCCGCAGTGGGGCAGCCTCAGCCATGCACTGCCTGCCCGTACATGACCTGCCGCCTACAGCAGGAAATTGGCTGGCAGGCTGGTGGGGCTGGTGCAGCCTCGGGTCTCTGCTGTTCATTAGGCCATTTCTAACAGGGGTTCCGAAGTGGGCTAACGAAGTGCTGGCTGCTTTGTGCCACCCTGCACTGCAGCACACCTGCCTCAGACGCGTTCCACTGCTCAATCAAGGGACCAATGGCCGGCCTCTCTTCCTCCTGAGCCAGGCTGGCTGTGGGTTCTAATTGCCCATGAAATGGCTCATCCTTTCATACACAAGCCCAACCCCCAGGACCCTTCCAAGGTCACAGTCCAGTCAAGGCCAGGGCTGCTGCTGTGAGCAGAGGTGGCCCCGCAGGCTGTGCGCTTGCCTTCACAGGCAGGCTCACCCGACTGTATGTTAACCAAGGGAGCAACCTTCTCTCTCTCCCAAGGATAATTCCAGGGCAGCTTTGCAGAAAGCTGTCTCCACAGGGAACCCCATCCTCCTGTTTCCCTCCATCTCAGGCCAGTCCTGGACAGTGACATCTTGGCCTCAGAGGGCAGGGCCTTGGCGACCAGGCTTACTGCTGGTAGGGCCAGGGGCAAGCTCCATCACTTGGCCTTTCTTTTTTGACTGCACTGTCCTCTATGAACTAGATAGTGACAACTGCTGCACAAGGTCACGAGTGTGGCCATCAACAGTACTGCAACCGGGGCCTGGTGGCAGACACATGTGAAGAAAGGAATAAATGATGTGATGTTACTGAAATATCACAGCTCGTCTAACCCTCTGCCATGGGAGTCAGGGCTCACCTGAAGTCTGGTTTACCCCTTGCTTAAAAGCTACCAGTTGACACAGGTGTGGCCAGCTGGCCTCTTCGCTGTGGACCCAGCTTCTGGCACAGAGCATAAAACAACAGAATGGGTTTAAAACAAAACTCTTCATCTGGACACTAGAAGCAGGGGCAGGGATCTCAGCGGTCACCTGGTCCTACCTTCTGTGACCTTCTGGAGAAGAATACTCAGCCCTGCTTGACTCTCTTCAGTGGCAGGGAGCTCATATCTCACAGGCAGCCCACTCTGTCACTCAACAGCTACAGTGGTCCCACTCGTTCTCTGCTGGCTAACTGGCAGCCTGTGCCCACAGGTGTGCTGCTGTGAGTCACGTGACATGCCTCTGCTGTGAGTCACGTGACATGCCTCTGCTGTGGGACCCCAGTCAGCCAGCCTCCTGCTTCTTTCCCCAGCTCACTCAAGTTGGGTGCTCCCATCTCTCCTCCACCAGAAAGGGGCCCGAATGCGAAGCCACCAGATTCGAATGACAAGTGTGCATACATACCTACCCTCATGCACATGCACACACCCGATCTCAGAGACACCAACGTGGCCCATCGGCATTGCTCTGTCCCTAGAGACAATGGACCCGTCCAATGCTCTGTCCCGAGGGACCTTACCTCTAGGAAGATGGCTCTGTGAAAGCCACTGTCTGAGGATCGCCACTGCCTGGCCCCTTCTAGCTTTAAGGGGCCCTTTTCACTTAGACCCCGCTCCCTGCCTGGCAAGCCCTCCAAGTGACAATGGCGATGGCTCTCTCAGGTGTCCCTGAGCCTTGGGTACTGTGGATGGTGGCTTTGCCAAGACCTCCTTGCTGGAACGGAGGCATGGGATGAAGCACCCTCCACTGACGGTGACCACCGTCCAGGGCTCACTGCGCCGATGTCTCCTCTAGTAGCGGCAGCCACCTGGCCCAAGTCAAGACTCATGAGAAGCCAGGCGGCATGGTGCCCTGGGGGATGCTGGCCCCTGAATTTTGGGGGGCTATGCTCATACCAGGACATGATCACATCTAGACATGTTCCCGCCGGCCCGAACCGCTGACGGTGCCTACATGACTGTCCCATCAGTGGCTTATAGCACCGGTGGTAGAAGTGGTACAGTCATGCACGGGGCAGTCATGCATGTACCACTGGTGGTTCAAGTTGTCCAGCAGTGAGGCATACAAACTATGGCCCTACTGTGAACTTGCTAAGGCAAAGAAGTAGGCAACAGAAGCTCAGTGGTAGAACACCCACCTAGGATGTGCAAGGCCCTGGGTTCTATCCCTAGCACTGCATAAAGAGTGGAGGCAACAGTGAAAGACCTGGAGAATTCACACCTTCCCACCAGCCCCCTAGCTAGACATGGTATTCCTGATCCAGTGTGCCTTGTTATGATAGAGGTGGAGGAAGAGGTTGGCATTAGCACCATATTCGACCAGCATTCCATCCCTAGATAAATGCCTGAACAACTGAAAACATTTTCAAACAAGTGCTTATAAGCAAATTATCATTAACAACAGCCAAAGGGGGACACCAGGTGTCATCAAGGGATGATAAAATAAAGCAACATGGTATACATGTACAATGGATTGCCACAGCCTTAAGAAGGAAGGAAATTCTGGCATACACTACGGGATGGGTGAACCTTGAAGACCTGACACGCTGAGAGTCAAGCCAGTCACAAAATGGCAAGTGCTATGTGTTCTCCTTATGCGATGTCCCTACAGTCATCAGATCCAGAGACAGAAAGCAGGATGGGGACCCAGGGGCTGGGGAATGAGGTGGGCGTCTGTATTTAATGGGGACAGAATTTCAGAGACAATTCGAGTGGTGGATGGTGGTGAGGGCTGCACAACAGCTTAACCTTGGACCTGTGCACGCAACCATGGTTCAGATGAGAAACTGAATGTTATATTTTACCATAACAGAAATAGTGGGGGTGCTGAGAATGAAGCTGGATGCATGCTGGGGACATGGTACTCGGTGATATAAGCCAGGAATGAAGGTTACACATTGTAAAAGTCCATTTACAGGGCATCCAGGAAAGACAGCTCCATACAGACAGAAAGCAGACTGTGGTGGCTGCCAAGGGCCACGGGAAGGAGGAAGGAGTGGCCGCTTATGGGCACAGGGTTTCCCCCTGGGGTGATGAAAATGTTTTTGAACCAGAAAGAAGTAGTGGTCACACAATACCATCAACATGCTAAACACAGTGAACTGTGTACTTTAAAATATACATTTATGTCATGCCATGCTTGCCTCAATAAAAACAAAGTCAGGTGGGACCCCTCAGCAGGCAGATGGGGCTATGGGAGCAGGGGTGAGTGCTGACCACAACCCCCAGGACTGGGGAGGAATCAGGGAAGAGTGACCTGCCTCTTCCACACACTGGTCCTCCCTGGCTGTGTCTGACTGGGGGACCTCTCAAAAGGGCCTCTGGGCCTGCTGCCCGACGGGCCAGGTACGGATGCACCCAGCAGCAGCCACACGTGAGGGCCCTTCCCCTTTCTGCCTCACCCACTGACTCCTGGAGCTCCTGACATAAAGCCTTGCCCTGTGGCCCGAGTGTACATCAGTGCTGGTGCAGGGAGAGCGGTGGCTTGCAAGGAAAACAAAAGGGGCAGAGAAATGTCCTGCTTGGGGACACTGAGAACCAGAGAGGCTGATGGGGCGGCTGGGGCAGTGGCCACAGAAGATGCTGCAGGGCCAGCAGTTTAGGGCACCCCTGGTCTGCAGAGGGCCCACCCCACCCCGGGCTCTCCCACAGTCACACGGAGAAGGGGCGCTGCCAGGGTGTATTTGTGGCCCTCCCTCGGCACCAGCCACACCATCCAACGTGGACTCTGGCTCCCCAGGGGTGGCAGCAGTGAGCATGGGAAACACAGGTGAGGCGGAAACCTGGACACACTGACTCCTCCCCTGGGGGGTGTCATCATGCCTGCTGCACCCCCTCTGTGGGGCTGTGCTTTCTTCCCCTGAACAGCCGCCCCCTTCTCCTGGGCCCCCTAGATGTGTGGCAGCTGAACCCCAACTTCAGGTTGACACAGGAAGATGGTGGCTCCCGTGATCCCAGCACGGCGGACACACTGCGAAGCAAACCAAAGGGGTCTGAAAGCACCACACGAGACAGCCCAAGGTGTCCATGGCATAAGTGAGCTACTGACCAGCAGGGTTATGGCAGGGAAGGAAGCACATCTTACCCGGATGCCTCGAGGCTGTCATAGGAGCCCACAGTATAGTGCCTGAAGAGCTTCTTGCTGCGGTCCGCACGGGTTTCTGTGTAGAGAGGGAAAAAAACGAAACACTGGTTAGAGAGTCATGGCCCCTGCATACTGAACTCATATGAAGCTGGCTGGGCTCTCATCCATCTGCCCCATGGAGCATGAGATCTTCCCTCCTGGGAAAAGATCCAGAGAAAAGAGGAGGCCCAAGTCTGCGGCCTGACTTTGCAAATTTTGGGAGTGCGTCTGAAAGAGCACTGGTGCTGACCCTTGAAGGGTCAAAGAGCTCCACTCAAATGCAGCCAGAGTCCTGTAGGCCGTGGCGAACAAGGGGAGGTAGGCGGAAGACGGCAGAGCGGAGGGAGCCATGGGCCTTTAAGCTGTGATAGTGACAGCTGCATCCTAAAAGTGATGCCCCGAGCCTCCTAGCAAAGCCAAGAACCTGTAAGTGAATGCCTATGGGAGAGGAAAAGATATATTTATTATTATTTTCCTGATTGCAGTTGCTTTCTCCTAACCTAAAAAAAAAAAAAATAAAGACACTAAACAAACATGATTAACTTTCCTAATTAAGTCCTCTGCTTGCTTCCCTTACTCAGCAGATTTAAATGTAAATTTCACGGGAAATAATATGAGCGATGTAATTAGATTTAATAGATAGCTTAGGGCTGGAGGAGGGGGCCCACAACAACAAAAACAGGAAAAATATAGTGGCTCGCAATGCATTGTTCAGTATTTTCCTCTCCAATAAAATTTCCTGCACCATCTCCTTCCTAAATCCTGCAGAAACTCTGTAAGCCACTGGCTTCAGGAACATGGCCTGAAATCAAATTTTAACTCCTGTAAGCCTCTCTGTTGATGGTCTCCTCTATCTTGTGTTCCAAGGTGAATGTGATTTTTACTGGAACCCCAAAACACATATCTGTAGTTCAAAGGTGAACACAAATAAAACCATTGGGAAAAGTGTTGGCTCCGTTCATGACCACAGGTAGCTAAGGTACAGGCTTCCTCCCTATGGAGTGGGGAGTTGCCCCTAGGGCTGAAGGATGCTGGTGATGAGCCCAGGACTGCATTTCCCAGCTACCCTTGCACCAGGATATGGTCATGTGGCTAGTTTGTACCAATGGGATGTGAGCAGGTTGTGTGTGTGTGTGTGTGTGTGTGTGTGTGTGTGTGTGTGTATGTATATATGTATATATGTATATATGTATGGGGGTGTACTCCAGTCCAGGCTTTTTAGGAGCCTACCTGCTCTCCCTCCCTCTTTTCTGTTTCTGCCAGTAAAAAACTCAGTGTGGGAGGCCATAAAGAGGGAGGGCCTGTGACTAGAATCAAAGGGCCCAGGTCTCTATGCCTCAGGTGGTTCCATGAGTGAGAGTTACCCTCCTACTGGACATTAGGCTGCATTTTCGGATTTCTGTTATAGCAGTTAACCTTGCCTTGACTGGCAGGCAGAACTATGGGAATCCTCTAAACTTAACTCCCACTTGCCTCTCCACCCCTTGTGTGTCACTTCCCTGATGACGACGTGCTCTGAGTCCCTGATCAGCCTTGTCATCTTCATTGTCATCATTATTGCTGACACTTCTTGCATACTGCTATGCACCAGGCGTGACGTAAGCACTACTTAACTGCTATGCCCACCCAGGGCAGGGTACACATACTGCACTGCGGCCTCTTTTGCCTTGCCACTGCGTTAATGCAGTCCCAGTTTGGGACTGTGGGTGCCCTCCATGGGAGAACATCCCATTTAACTTCAAGCTTAATGCATGCTACTATTTTAAATACCTGCCTGCATACACCTCATCACTAATCAGCTGCTACTTACACAGCACGAACGTCTTCAACAGTAATGCTCAGACAATTACTGAAATGTCTTTGCCCAAAGCAAGTCAAAAGCAATGACATTTCACAAAAAAACAAGCAACTTAAGTTTAAGAAGTGTGATACATTACAAAGTGAAGTTGCCAATAGTGTAGATTTGTCATTTCGTTGTACTGTATACAAAGAAGCACGCTGCAACACAAATTATTAGACCACAGACATAAAACAGTTGGTGGGTTGTCCTCCTTTGCTCATACCTGTCACACCTGTATCTGTCAGCATCCCTGTTCTAACATTGTGTCCTTCACCCACACCATGATCTGTGGCCATCTGTACACGTGGAGGAAGGTGGGACAACTGGGCTCATTTTATTGGTGGCAATGTTGGGGCCATGAAGACAAAGTCACACTCCCAGGTAGGGCCAGGCTCACTGCCCTGGCTGGCACACGGGTGCCAGAGTCTTGTCTCCTGTCTCCCAGACCAACTGCTCCAATGCTTGGGAGAGGCTCCCCCTGATCTTGAGCTCTCTGCCCTGCCGTAGGATGGGACTTGACCTTATTTCTGTCTGGCTGCTGTGGTCTGGGTATGTGTCTCCTCCAAACTCAGAGTGAAACTTAATCCCCACAGTCATAAGGTAATGGCATTTGTAGGAGGGGCTTTGGGAAGGACATTGTGATTAGATGAGGTCATGAGGGTGAGGGCCCTGTGATGGGACAGGTGATTTGATAAAAACAGGAAGAGAGACCCAAGCTTACCCTCTCATCATGGGATGTTCTGCATCACCTCGGGACTCTGAACTCTCCGAACCTCATCTGAGTGAGGAGAGGGCCCTGAGTGCTCATCAGGCCTCAGCCAAGCTGTGCACCCTTCCCCTCGGCTCAGCCCAGGTGTGCTGGGTACGCCACCCTGGGTACACTCACGCGGCAGTGCCATCACTGCAGCCATCATTCACTAGTCCCATCAAAGCCAGGACTTGTGCCGGAGGAAGTGGTGGAAGGGGACTCCCAAGGGTAGAGCTCAAGGTTCCAGTGTGGGTGAAGGAGCAGCTCAAGACATCCACCTTCTTGGGCTAAGTGAGAAACCCCAGCAGTCAGTAATTACAGGGAACACATGGCTGGCAACGCAACTGCCAGGCTAGCCCTAGGACATCTATGTTGGGGCCACCAATGTGCCAGACCCTGGAGGGATAAATGAGACTTGAACCTCTTTACAGGGTTAGGCAGAGTGGCTCACAAAGCCAGTGAAGGACCACACGGCTGTTAATTGCTAGTATTACTCTTAATTGCTTCTGCTGCTCAAACCCCCACGTGGCAGCTCTATGCTGGTTGTCTAGGAAACCGCTGGGAGCTGAGAGTTGACTGGGACAGGTCTCTGGATGGGTCAGATGGCCTGGGGTTGAGGGCAGACAGAGGACATAGTGTGGAACATGCATGTGAGCATGTGTGCGTACATGTGTATGGGTTCCTCACAGGCAAAACACATCGAGAAGGGGCTGATTTCCAAGCTGGCTCAGGAAGTTGGGGGTTCCTAGGTGGTGGGATTTCATGGGCCAACACAATTGTAAACACTGTGGGTAGAGACTGTAAACCAACACAAAGGTAATCAAGTTTTAATTTTGATTCAGTGAGGACGTTGAAAATAGTTAGTTTTTGTCAAAATTATTTTACAAGGGAAAAGGAAGCTTCAGAAATATGTTATCTCCGGTTGCCTTAGGAAAACCTTCCCTGGACTCTGCCTCCCACACAGTCACACTTCTGCTCTGAGAAGTGTCCCATCACCACCATTCCCATGACCACCACCGCCACAACCACCATCCTCCTCACCATCGCCATGGTCATCACCTAGCCACCATCACCATCATCACGTCCCCATCACCTCTACTTCTTTAATGCTTCCAAGTGCAGGATGCCCGGCTAACTGATCTCCTGTTTCACTAAAATTAAGTCTCTCCCTTCATTTGGTTCTCACACGATGCCCAGCAGTAAAGGCGTCTCCTGTCCCCGCTTCCTAGAAGAGCAGAGCGCAAGGATGAGGGGCACGGGCCCCGAGAGCCTGGCTTTGCCTTCCTGGGCTGCACCTCAGACGCGGAGCCTCTTCTTCCCACAGGTCTCTCAGGGTAAAACAGCTCATGAGTGGAAGCTGGGCTTCCAACCCAGATGCCGGCTTCACCCAGACGCTGGCCTCTGCAGCCTGTGCCTACAAACCAGTGGTGTGACTCTCCAAGAACACTCCCCAGGAGCCACATGTGCTCTGAGTGCCTCCCCTGCCTGAGCTCTACATAGTTAGGTAGGCTCAGAGAGGTTGAGTGAGTGCCCAAGGTCACCCAGCCAGAAAGCACAGAGCCTGTCCACAGCACAGTCTCCACTGGGAGGCAGAGGAGGTGGTGTTGCCAGGAGCAACCTCCCTAAACTCAGGTTGTGGCCTCCCCAACCTGCATGTCCCATGGACCTGCTCTTACCTGGCTTTTTATTATCGTTATCATCGTCATCGTTGTCAGCATCTTTATTGTGATTGTTATCTTTCTTGCATGTGTGTTTCTGAGGATTGAACCCAAGGCCTTTGCACTGAGCTACATTCCCAGGCCTTTTTATTTATTTATTTTTATTTTGAGACAGTCTTACTAAGACTTGAGAATGTCTTACTAAGCCATTAAACTGACCGGGTTGGGCTCAAACTTTTGATCTTCCTCTCTCAACCTCCTACAGTGCTAGGACTACAGGTGTGTAGCACCATGCCCGGCTCTGGCTTCAGGAGCTGATCTGGGGAGAGGGGTGCGCTGGGTAGACCTCAGAGTTCTTCCCCAAGATGACGATGGATGTGTCACGACACATCCAACAGCAGCTTGGCTGCTGCTGCTCTCTCTGGCCAGCTGTGCAGTGTGGGCTGCAGCTGACTGGTCTGGGTGCCTCTTGCTGGGTCCCACTGGTGCAAATGCCAGGTACACACAAAACCCCACAGAGCAGGCAGGGGGAGGCAGGAGGAGGGAAGGGGCCACCCTGGCCTCCCTGCGGGCTGATGACCATGATGGGCAGGGGGACCAGTCCTCACTGGTGCTCCCTGGGAAGCGCTGGCTTAGCTGAGCACCTGTGATCTGTCACTGTCCAGGTCACTTACTTAGCTCCCACTCTACCCTCTTCCTAAAGAGGCAGGAGGCAGGGCCAGGCATGCTGCTGTACCCCACTCAGAAGGGTGGGCACGTGCCTCCCTCATGCTCTGGCGGCCAGCCCTTTC